CGGCGGGTTGAAGACTTCTGTCTGTTGCTATCTTATCGTCAGCCTGGATAGCTCAGTTGGTTAGAGTGGGATGCTGATAACGCCAAGGTTGCAGGTTCGATCCCTGTACAGTGGTACCTCGGGTTACAGACGCTTCAGGTTACAGACGCTTCAGGTTACAGACTCTGCTAACCCAGAAATAGTACTTCGGGTTAAGAACTTTACCTCAGGATGAGAACAGAAATCGATCGGCGGCAGCGGGAGGCCCCATTAGCTAAAGTGGTGCTTCAGGTTAAGAACAGTTTCAGGTTAAGAACAGACCTCCAGAACGAATTAAGTTCTTAACCTGAGGTACCACTGTATGAGATGACTGCATATTCCTGCATTACAGGGGGTTGGGTTAATTAAATAATTGATTGATTAATCTGGCTGGGTTTCCCAATGGAATATTAAAAACACATCAAACATTATCAATGATCCTCAGGGTCCCTTCCAACTCTATGATTCTATTGTAGCCCCTGCCCTCTTACAGGAGACAAGAGGCAATAAACATATCCAAAAGAAGAAGGAGGGAAATTTCAAATGAGGCAGCTAGTCTTCGAGGTAGTTTTGGTTTGTTTGTTTTTGTTGCATAGTCCAGACACTAATGGAGGGAATTCCAAGAGGAGTATTTATCCTTGCTCCATAAACTAGACCGCTTTGCGGACCAGTGACTGGGAAGCGCTGGAAACCAATGCTGACAGCGCAAGTCTGAATTGCAAGCTTGCTCCCAGGCAAGTCCCACTGCCCCTAGGAAGCAGCCGAAGACACGCATCACTTGCAGACTGGCCACCTGAAAAATGAAAGCGCCTCCAAGGACCGTTTCATACTTTCACTTACACAGAGCAGACGTTGGCAGATGTCTTCCCAGGATGCCTGCTTGGGGAATGGGAACGCTGACACCATGATCTGAAGGGGGAGAGATGCCTCTGCAGAACCTGGAGCGGCTGCATGGCCTCGGTCGCGCCAAAGCCATATGGAAGGTCTCCAGCTTGGTTCATTGAACACACGTCCCCATGTGCTTTCTAATGTGCATCCGATGCAGTCGGCCTTTTGCAGTCTAAAATTGTTTGTTTCAAAGAGCACACACACACACACACACACACACCCTCCATCATCCACTACTTGCTACTATTCTACTCTTCTTTTACATGGTTTCCCCTTCCTCTTGCTCTCCGCTTCCTAGTCAGGGTTCAGGGCAACCAAAATAATCAAGGGGATGGAGCAACTCCCTCTAGGAAGAAAGGTTGCAGCATTTGGGGCTTTTTAGTTTTGAGAAAAAGGAGAGTAAGAGGCCACATGACAGAGGTGTATAAAATCATGTGCAGCATGGAGAAAGTGGATAAAGGTTTCTCCCTTTCTCATAACAGCACAACGCATGGACAACAATGAAGCAGAATGTTGGAAGATTCAAAACCGATGAAAGATAATCCTTTTTCATGCAGTGCATAGTGAAACTATGGAACCTGCTCCCCAGGTGGCAGTCATTGAAGTGTAGGTGGGTTCCCACAAGGCAAGACACAGTGATAACAGCAAGAACCTTTATTGAACAAACAGAACTGGACAGCTACTGCTTATATACATTTCTGAAGGCCTGGGCCACTCCCACTCCAAACGTGATTGGCTGTCCAAACATCCAAGCTGCGAATCATAAGTCAGAGTTTAAGGGCCAATGGCAGAGGCCCAAATCCTGAAATGTTCTGTGACTGGATATCACGTATCGAATCAGAACACAGGGGCTCAGAATCCTTAGTCCAGACTCAAGCTCAAGCAAACACGGGCCTATGAATACATAACAGTCATGGCCACCAACGTGGATGGCTTTAAAAGAGGATTGTTGTTCTTGTTGTTGTTTCGCCGTTTAGTCGTGTCCGACTCTTCATGACCCCATGGACCAGAGCACGCCAGGCACTCCTGTCTTCCACTGCCTCCCGCAGTTTGGTCAAACTCATGCTGGTAGCTTCGAAGACACTGTCCAACCATCTCGCCCTCTGTCGTCCCCTTCTCCTTGTGCCCTCCATCTTTCCCAACATCAGGGTCTTTTCCAGGGAGTCTTCTCTTCTCATGAGGTGGCCAAAGTATTGGAGCCTCAGCTTCACGATCTGTCCTTCCAGTGAGCACTCAGGGCTGATTTCCTTAAGAATGGATGTGTTTGATCTTCTTGCAGTCCATGGGACTCTCAAGAGTCTCCTCCAGCACCATAATTCAAAAGCATCAATTCTTCGGCGATCAGCCTTCTTTATTCATTAAGGAAAGGGCAGTTGATGGCTACCAACCATTATGACTATGCTCTATCTCCACAGTTGGAGGCAGCAATGCTTCTGAATGCCAGTTGCTGGAAACCACAGGAGGGAAGAATGCTCTTCAGCTTGAATCCTGCTTGTGGGTTTTCCATAGGCATCTGGTTGACCACTGTGAGAACAGGATGCTGGACTAGATGGACCACTGGCCTGATCCAGCAGGCTCTTATGTTCTCAAGTGGGTTTGCCCGGTTGCTGTTACTGCTTTTGTATTTTGTGATCGAAGGGCAGTCCAATGGTACAGCTTTAAGTACTCTCACGGCTCCAAAGCTACTGTGCACTTCCCTGGGAGCAAGCTCCATTTTCTACAGTGGGCCTTCCTTCTGCCCACTAGGGTGTGCTTGCACATGGTCTTAAACACAGCCCATCTGTTTATCCATTTGAGAGGCCCAAGTTCTTCTCTGTTGACCTCTCGACTTCATCTCCCAGTACAACCTGGATCTTGAGAACGTGCCTCCTGCTTTTGAAATCCCTACGGGGCCTATTTCTGGGACCGGACCAGGGGATCTATTTATAGCCATGATGTCTCACTGGGCAGACATTTATGTGGGAATAAAGATCAGAACATCTAAACCATGCTCCAGCAAAATGTGCCAGGGGGAAGCGTGTTGTCTTCCTGTTTAACTAAAGTACAGTACTCCCATAGTCCCTGGCACATGTTTATGCTTTGGGAAAGCAGTAAAACAAAAATATCCCACTGGGCAGTCAAATGTAATCACTAATGCTTCCTTACCGCAGTGTGTGCGTGTGCTTGAGAGCGGCAAAGACAAACACTCCTCTGTGCTGCTCCGGTGCCTTTCGTGAAAGGCTGTAGAGCATGAGACCAGTTTTTGAATAAGTTTGTGCAGAGTTCAGCAGAAGGAGAAGTTAGCTTCACCAAATGTCCAACACTTCACTTTAGGGAAGGATCCATAGCTCAGTGTGTTGCATGCAGAAAGTCCCCATTCATGGGCATTGCTACGTACTTCAAAGAGTTAGGGCACAGGCTCATAACACAAATTTGCACAGGCAAATGTTTATGCTTAGATACAAATTTAGGCCAACTTTCAGAGGGGGAAAACACAAACTCTGTCTCTTTGCTGTCAGGGCTTCTTCTAAACCACATGGTGCCAACAAGATAATCTGTAACCAAGACAGTTTATTTAAATTTATATGCTGCTTGATTGTAAAAGGTAAAAAGGCAAAGGACCCCTAGATGGTTGAGTCCAGTCAAAGGCGACTATGGGGTTGTGGCGCTCATCTCGCTTTCAGGCCAAGGGAGCTGGTGTTTGTCAACAGTCATTTTTCTGGGTCATGTGGCCAACATGACTAAACTGCTACTGGCGCAACAGAACACCGTGACGGAAACCAGAGCGCATGGAAATGCCGTTTACCTTCCCACCGCAGCATTGAAACTGCTAGGTTGGCAGAAGCTGGGACAGAGCAACGGGAAAGAACTGCTGCTTATGTACATATTCAAACTAAAACAAACATTATCCGACATTTTAAATAACTCTTTCTCATCCTCTTTCTCTCTTTCAAACTTACCATTTATTTAGACAATTTACATATTGCTTTATTGCAGTGGACCCTAAGCAGTGTAGAAAGAACGGAATACAATATAAATTGGTTTAAACTATTAAATCAGAATTCACTTATTGTGCCTGCTGGAACAAAGAGTCTTCAGTAGATGCTGGAAGTTGGCACAGGCCTGGCAGCAAATGCGACGCTCAGGAGTCACAGTTCAGGAGGTCCAGAGAAGGACAAGAAACAATAAAGATGCCCAGATAAGCTTCCCACTCCACTGGGCCAGCTTTGAAGGGTGAGAGGTGGAGTTCTCACTCCCAAGACTCTCTCACCTTACGGGAATGTCAAGCTTGCAAGGGTACACTCCACCAACATTGGGTGGGTCTGCTCCCATCTGCCTTATGGACAAGGCTACACTTTCCTGTCTGGTCCCTGCCTCCTCCTTTTCAGTCTCCCCCCTCGGCTGATCAAAGCCTTCTCCAGTCACCTCTAAGTCTCTCAACTCCTGAGCAGGTCAGAAGGCAGAGCGGGCATCTCTGGTCCCCCTTCTAAAGCGACTGAAGCCAGGGTGGAAAGGGTAGAGCCCCCCTCCTCCAACCCAGCTCCCTGCCATTCAGCCCCCTCCTCCTCTGGGCTGCATCAATAGGAGTATAGCATCTAGATCAAGGGAAGTAATAGTGCCACTGTATTCTGCTCTGGTCAGACCTCACCTGGAGTACTGTGTCCAGTTCTGGGCACCACAGTTCAAGAAGGGCACTGACAAACTGGAACGTGTCCAGAGGAGGGCAACCAAAATGGTCAAAGGCCTGGAAATGATGCCTTATGAGGAACGGCTAAGGGAGCTGGGCATGTTTAGCCTGGAGAAGAGGAGGTTAAGGGGTGATATGATAGCCATGTTCAAGTATATAAAAGGATGTCATATAGAAGAGGGAGAAAGGCTGTTTTCTGCTGCTCCAGAGAAGCGGACACGGAGCAATGGATCCAAACTACAAGAAAGAAGATTCCGCCTAAACATAAGGAAGAACTTCCTGACAGTAAGAGCTGTTCGACAGTGGAATTTGCTGCCAAGGAGTGTGGTGGAGTCTCCTTCTTTGGAGGTCTTTAAGCAGAGGCTTGACAACCATATGTCAGGAGTGCTCTGATGGTGTTTCCTGCTTGGCAGGGGGTTGGACTCGATGGCCCTTGTGGTCTCTTCCAACTCTATGATTCTATGATTCTATGATTCCATTTCTTCCTCTTCCTGCTCCTCCTGCATCACAGCCTGCCATTCCAAGCCTGTGAGGCTCAGGACATAGTCTTGTTGCAGTCCCCACACCGCCATGCTGTTGGCAGCAGAAAGGGCCCTGGGACTCTCAGAGCCCTAGCAATCTTACGAAGTGCCTGGGTGCTACGGTAATGCCATAGATAGCAAAGTTTATGAGCTCCAGATATTGATGAATTGCAACTCCTATGGGACCGACGGATGATGGAGTCCAGTAACATCTGAAGTGTGCCAGGTTGACACTTGCTGCCATTTTTTCCAACCTGGGAGGAGAATCAGAGATCTGAGTAAATGCGACCCGACTCTGAAAATAGGTTCCTGGCTCGTCAGACTCTTTTTATTCTGAAAACATTTTGCGGAAATGTTCCAGAAAAAATGAACTTTCATTTTTGTACCAAAACACCAGCGAGAAATGGTTTATCTACTATGGGGCCTTTATGTAACATCTGTCGTTATAGCTGGAGAGGGGAGGAAAACAACATTTGCAAATGCTTGAGCCAGGGCTACAGTGGACTCAGACTGCCCTCCGGTGTTCAAAGCAGGGATAAGTGAAAAATGAAATGATCCTCTTAGCAGATACAGTGGTACCTCAGGTTAAGAACTTAATTCGTTCTGGAGGTCCGTTCTTAACCTGAAACTGTTCTTAACCTGAGGTACCACTTTAGCTAATGGGGCCTCCCGCTGTCACCATGCAATTTCTGTTCTCATCCTGAAGCAAAGTTCTTAACCTGAGGTACTATTTCTGGGTTAGCGGAGTCCGAAACCTGAAGCATCTGTAACCTGAAGCATCTGTTACTCGAGGTAGCACTGTATTTTATTCAGAGTTCCTCTAGACATGATTTTTGTTCATAATGATATTGGGGCAGTTACACGTAATCCTGCTGTCATTATTTGCAGCTGCAAAAGTGTGGGTTTTTTTTGGGGGGGGTATTTCCCTTAGGTCCCTACTGAAATCCTGCGTACTACAAATCCTTTCATGCTACAAATATTCTGGGCTTGTTTTCTTGTCCCACTTTATTTATTTATTGCATTTACATCCCACCTTTCCCCCCAAGCTGCTCCAGGTGGTGTACATAGTTTTCTCTCCCCCCCCCATTGAATCCCCACAACAACCCTGTGAGGTAAGTTAGTCTGAGAGGCAGCAACTGACTCAAGGTCACCACCCAGTGAGCTTCATGGCCGAGTGGGAATTTGAACCCTGGTCTCCCAGATCCTTGCCTGACGCTCTAACCATTAGGCCACACTGGCTCTTCGTCTATAGTGCTAAAGTGCAAGAGAGCCCCTCCAGATTGCAATAATGCAGTAGCATGGGGAAAGCACCGCAGGACATCTAACAAAGCAGAATGGTGCGTTGAGGGTCAAGTATAAATCCAAACATATGGAGAAGAGGGTGCCATCCACACTGTCACTTCTCAAAGTGCAGGGACGAGGCAAGGCAAACAGTTCAAACAAGTTCAGAGGTGATATCAAAACTATCTGCTCCCTCTTGACTTTCTCATTCAACCTCCTATCAAGCTGTTAGACTTTTGCCTTACTGAGATTCCATTATCAATACAGCACCACATTTAGAATCAAATCAAATCTCAAAATGGGAGAGAACTCCCCTTCCCCCAAATTTGTGAGGAATATTATTAGGATGTCTCCCAAACAATGTTCATCAGATGCACATCTAGGGTTGTGCTCTGTGATCTTCCCTGAGCAGTGAAATTTAGGGCATTCTGTCTACCCACCTTCTAGGACTCCCTTCCTAAGATTTGGTGCCTGGTTGATTCTCTTCCAGCGATGAAGAACTTTCAGCTTCGGAAGACATTTTGGTTCCTGGAGGAGGAGTAGATGAAACAACTTTTATTGGACCTTATGTTTGGGCTGATTCTTTGCTTTCAGAATCTGTTTACAGTTGTTCATTCTAGGATGTTTGTTTTGTAGTGTTGACTGAATTACTATAAGCCTCTTTCGGGTCCTGATAAGGCTGGTTAAGCAGCAGGTTGTAGTTAATAAATAAATAATTATTAATAATTAATTAAATAATAAATAAATAAATAAATAAATAAATAAATAAAGTCTTTAATTGTTTTTTTCCCCACTTCCTCTTCTATTTCTATATTGCTTAATATTTCTTCATTCAATTTCCATCTACATTGTGATCTCACCTCCCCATGTAGGATTACCATTTGAATTGTGATCTGATAAAGTCCTTGGTGATACAGTGGTACCTCGGGTTACATACGCTTCAGGTTACATATGCTTCAGGTTACAGACTCTGCTAACCCAGAAACAGTATCTTGGGTTAAGAACTTTGCTTCAGGATGAGAACAGTATTCGTGCAGCAGGTGTGGTGGCAGCAGGAGGCGCCATTAGTTAAAGTGGTATCTCAGGTTAAGAACAGAAACTGCATTTCCTCTTTCTCCTTCTTCCACCTCCTCTTGTTGACGTTCTACTAATTGTCCAAAGTCTTTTTTATATTGTCTCACAAATGATCTGGCTTTCATTACTTCCACACATCCTTGTTTATTTCCTTTACTTACATCATAGGAGCCTACACAACACAAAACTCTATTGCTGCATGTAGGTTTTATTTTATTTGTTTTTTATCTTATATTTTGGAAATGTACATCCAGGGGTTTTTTTCCTTAAAAATTTTTTTGGGCCCCCAAGAGAGTGGGGCCCTAAGCTATAGCTTGTTTAGCTTATACATAAATCTGACACTGCCTCTGGGTATTCCCACTGGAATGAAACCTTTTTCTTCTTCTGTCAATTTGTATTCATTCCTTTTTTAAAAAAAAGTCTTACCAGGATTTCCTTTTAAGATGATGATTCTTTGTTCTTGAATTACCAGTGCTTTCCAAAAGTGGGCTTGCAGTACATTATCCTTGAAATTTCTGGAAATGGATATCACTAGGCAGTCGCCTGGTAATCTCTTACTTTTTGCACAAGGTGATTTCACTCTGTAAATTTTATCCACTGCTCTGTTGGCCTCTTCCTCTTCACTTTCCAGTAAATTTGCTAGATGATAATATAAAGTTATTTCTGATTTGGATGCTATGGCATGTGCAGTGCCAGATTTACATATAAGCTAAACAAACTATAGCTTAGGGCCCCAAAAAAATTAAAAGGAAAAAAACTGGATGTACATTTCCAAAATATAAGATAAAAAACAAATAAAATGCACATTCAGCAACAGGGTTTCGTGTTGTGTAGGCTCCTATGATGTAAGTAATGGGACCCGCCTGCTAGCCTGCTCCCTAAAATATCACTGGTTTGCTCATTTCTATATATATAGGGTGCCTACATTCTGCATGGATTGGTTGCATGGCAACATGTACAAGTGGCTTTAGATACCTATTAGGTCCATAAATTACCATATAGCATATATTCAACACAAAAAACAGCAACAATTTGTTGTTGACAAAGGACAGCTGGATATATAAAGGGCCCCATTACCTTCAGTAGCTTAGGACCTCATCAAACCTAAATCCGGCCCTGCACATGTGTCATCAGTCATCTTTGCTTTTTGTCAATTTGTTCTTTTGCTCTCTTCCAGTTCTATTGCAATTGTTACTCTCACTTGTCCTTGAGTGCAGCTGTTGTTTTGTCTAAGTTATTATAGATTATTTCTCCTAACTTTCTCCTTAGGTAGAATTTGGGAATGCTCAAACGTAATTGATACTGGCCCTTATTAAAATATTGTTCTTTTAAAGTCCAGTTTATCAACTATTTGCAGATTCCATTTACTGTCCTTTTTTTTACAAAGTTTTTTTTGTCCTGCTTGCACACAAATAATTTCCAAATTCTATTAATTTAATTGTCCATCCCCCCACTCGTTTATGCACAGAGATGCGGGGTAAAGAAGTTGTCTTGTCTCAGAAAACACAAGGTATCAAATACAGTAGTACCTCGGTTTGCGAATGTAATCCATTCCAGAAGACCGTTCAACTTCCGAAATGTTTGAAAACCGAGGTGCAAAGGGCTGGCTGCAAGTTCAATTGGAAAAATTGAAAAACACGCAGCGGAAGCCATTCAACTTCTGAGGCACGTTCAAAAATGGAAGCAATTATTTCTGGGTTTTTGGCGTTCGAAAACCAGAACGTTCAGCTTCCGAGACACTCAAAACCCAAGGTACCACTGTAAATCATAAATATTAGTCCTTTTTAATTATTATGTTTCCTCCTTAACACAAGTCTGTCTTCTGAGTTTTGTGTGTCCTCTTTAGAGATAAACAAAAAGAATGTTGTTACATTCTAACAGTAAACTTTCCCTTCTCTCATACTTTCTGCTATTTGCTTGTCCTGTTTATGGGTTTTCAACCTTGTCAACATTTTTGCTCCAGGTGAAGCATGCAGAGGGTATCCAAAGCATCCACTGAGGATCCCAGCCTGTGTGGGTGTGTGTACGCAAATCCGTGGGTGTGAGTGTGTGCCAAACTGGGTCTTTGACTGGATCTAGACACGTCAAAGACATGTTTCAGTTAAAAGCGTGGCAAACTTTGTATGAGAAATTGAGTAAAAGCACAAACAGAACTCCATAGCGCCATCTGGTGTCACTTGAGTATCTGAGGTCAGGCAGGAATTTTGCACATTTCTAGTGCCATGGCACTCATATAAACTCAAGTCATCACCCTTTTGTTTCTTCTGCTTCCTTGGATAGACAGCTACCACCCTATGCAAGCTTATTGGAAGCATTTCCCGCTGTGCATTTTCTGGCTAGATCCCACACCATACATATAAAGCCCATAACTTCTCACCAAAGAATCCTGGGAACTGTAGTTTAAGGGAACCGGGAACTGTAGTTTGTGACAGGGAAATCCAGCTCCCAGAATTCTTTGGGGGAAGGCATGTAATTTAAATGTGCATTAGATGTACTTTGAATCTATGGTGTGGATCCGCCATCACAGTTCAGAAGGGGCTAGCTGAAATCGAGCTAATTATGATTACTTTACTTTCAGGGGCTGCATGATTTACACAACTGGGTCTAACTCAGTGGTTTTCAACGGGTGGGTCAGGACCCACTAGTGGGTTGCAGCCTGATCCAAGGCGGGTCACGACAGAAGCACTACCACCATGCACATGCGTGTTAAAAGATTAAGAAATGGATCCCCCAAACGCATGTTTGAGTTAAAAGTAAGTCTTGGGTCTGAAAAGGTTGAAGACACCTGATCTGACACACTTCGTGCGTGCAAATCCAGTCCACAAGCCTATTCATAAAACAGGTGTGCGGGGGAAGTGGTGTGTGTGGATAAATTAATCCGAATTAAAGTGTAGCTTTACACGAGACTCCCTTGATATATTTTGGAGAACAACTCCGCGGCAGGACGGGATGAGGGTGGGGAGACGGAGTCCACAACACCTGGAATGAAAAGCTGCACCCGATTTCCCACCGAAAACTCGCCGGTAACCGGGCGGGAGCGCGGCAGCCACGCCCCGATTCCGTACCGAGTTTGGCGCGCAAAAGCGCATGGAAGCGCAGGGCGGCGATCCGAAGCAGCGGCGCGTCTGGGGAGCGGGACAAACCGAATTGGCTGCGAGGGGCCTTTGGGAAAGCGGCGGCGGCGGCGGCTCCCCGAGGCCCCAGGGCCCTTTCACCTGCCGAAGGGGGGTGGCGCCCTTCCCCTTCTCCCCGCCCCCTCGGCGCCTCCGCCCCGCTCCTTCCCCAGGTAGAGCGTCGTCGAGGGGCGGCGCGCAGGCTCCGGGGCGGGGGGAGGGAAGGCAGCAGAGGGAGGCGCTCCGGCGGCCCGGCCGGGAGGTGGTTTTGCCCTCGTGTTGGGCGAGCACGCCTCGCTTCCTTTCCGCCGGCTTCCTTGTTTGACAGTCGAGCGGGGCAATCCGGTCCCTCCCGCCGCTCTCCGCCCCACCCACCTACCCGCCTGCCTGCCTGCCTGCCTGCGCCCTTTTCCCAACGGCGACGCGCAGCCTGAGCGCTGGAAGTGGAGGGTCGGAAACAGATGAGTGGAAGGAAGGCGGGCGCGCGGGAACGGCCTGGCGACTCGCACCGACGGCGCTGAGGCGGCCGAAGGCAGCGCAACTTCCGCGGGGTCGTCGCTAAGTAAGTGCCTGCGCGCCTTGCTCGCTTTCTCTTTGCCCCGTCTGTTGCTGCTGGGGCTGCTTCTTCCACCACCGCCTCCTCCTTTCTCTTTCTCCTTTCTCGCCTGTGTCACTTGCTTCCTCTCCTGCCCTCGCTGAAATAGTTTTGAGTAGGTGTGAATGGTTTCTTGCCTGGGTCCTCCTTCGCCTTTTTTGTTCCCGCGCTTCCTCCCCTTTCTCTCTCCCCGCGCCCCCGCCCCTGTCCCGACAGTGTGTATTTCTGGCCATGTTGCAAGGCTGTGTCTCCTTCCTCAGCCTGCCTGTTTCCCCGCCGGGGATGAGGTGCTACTAAGGCAGCATGGATGCAGCTTGGAACTTCCCTCATTTCATCATGCACTTGCCTTGGGCCTTCTCTCTTCCTTGTCACTTCGCTTCTCTTTCCGCCCACCCGCCCCGAAGTTTTATTCCAGTGACAAACCAGCAGATCTCTCCTCCAATTCTTTCTTTCCCCCAACTTTTCCGTAAGTTGGAGCAGCAGGAAACCTCTAGCTATGGATAACACATGTATAACATGTTTATTTACTCAGAAGGTGAAAATAGTTCACAATGAAAATGTATGCCATATTTATTTACTCAGAAGTAGGCTTGATATCTGCCTGGTTTACTTCCAAGTAAGTGTACAGAGGGTTTGCAGTGTTGGTTGTGTCCTCGTCTGTTTTATTTATGATTGGTTAAAGTGTTTTTTTATAATCCAAATACCCTGCTTTCTATCACCATGCAGAAAGGGAAATAAGTCAAGGTGGCCTTTAGCAGTAAAAGATAAATAAAAACAGAAGCACAACATACATTTGGCCACCATCATGATAAAACACAAGCGGTAACTATGTTAGTCCATTGCAGCAGACACAGCAAAAAGGTCTGTGGCCTAATTTTGGAGGGGGGAGAACGGCAAGGCAATCCTAGCAGAGTCTTGTGGTGCTTTAAAGGCTCATTGCTTCTAGAATCCTAGCCATGCCTCCTCAGAAGTAAACACTATTGACTGCAGTGGGGCTTATTCCCAGATATGTGTGCTTATGATTGCAACTTTTTATGAAGCAAGTTTCTGTGAATTAGGGTCCACATCATCAGATGCATGACACAAGGAGCTACCGATTCCAGCAAAGGCAATCAAAGACCAGAACCAAGATGGATATAAATAGGAATAACATTTACTTACCTGCAGAAGATTAGTTTTTTCAAGTACAGACTTTTTTAAAAGTCTACAATACAGGAATCATTTCCCCAATGTGGGGCTCAAACCTATGGCCCTGAAATTAGAGTCTCATGGCCTATCAAAAATCCCAAAGTTGTATACTCATGAGAAGGTCATGGACACATTCAGTTGTATGTCTGTATGGTCCTTTCCTTGCAGTTGGGGACCTTGATTAGCCAGTGTTTCCCACTGCATGGCAGAGCCCTTTGTGCATAGATCCTTTCTGCTTAATGCTGTACATGGCATTGCAGAGGGCTGTGCTAATCAGGGGTGCTCCCCCCCCCCCATTCTCAGTGTACAAGAAGAACATTTGACCACTTATCTGCTGCATCCAGTGCCAGATAACTGCATAGGATTACAGCCTATTAAGTAGAGTGGGTTGGTGCTATTGCACTGCAAAGTATAGGTTGAGTCCTTGAAGCATCCATTTAAAGTAGATACCCCAAGAATCCTGGGAGTTATAGTTTACCCCACATACAGAGCTACAGCTCCCACTAACTACAGTTCCCAGGATTCTTGGGGTTGGGATAATGTGCTTTATATGTATGGCCATGTATGCAGCTGAAGATGTATAGCCATGATTGTCAGATGCATTATTTACAACCTCATGGGAAAGTCTTTTGTGGAAAAGGGCAGTCATGGTAGAGAAATGAGTGTGCAAATTTGCTTCCTTTATATTGGCATTCTTTACGTTGGCACAAATCTGCATCCATTATATCTAGTGGTTAGACATTATAATGCTATTGCAAATATTGCACAACTTAGTCCATTCGGCTGATATCACAAGAAATACCTCTGTAATGATGGTGCATTCTAAACTGTACCCAGTTGGGGTTAGGCATATCTTGCTTTGTGGTGAATGTGTGTTTTTGCACTAGGGTGGAATGACTATGAATTACAACTCATCGGTTCTGTTATCTGCTGCTTGAAGATTACAGATGTTTATCATGCTGCATGCCACTGTTGTCAGTGCCAAGACCGTATGTGCTACTGCAAACACTGCCTTGTCAATGGTCACTGCAATTGATTTTCTTATACATAATTATATCTGATCTTTTAGCATTTGGTTTGACCTCATTCCTCTTTGTTCCCATCCCACCCAACTGTGGGTGTATGTGTATCACACATGCCTGACAAGTTAGAATTATGCTTCTGAAGTGGACTCTGGTCCCTGGTAGGTTATCGCAAAAAAATTGCTCTTGCCTTTCAGGTGGTATAATACTGTCTTCTTTTCTAAAACAGGTATCACCAGCCCAGTGTCTGCAGATACAGTGGTACCTCGAGTTACAAACGCCTCAGGTTACAAACACTTCAGGTTACAAACTCCGCTAACCTGGAAGAGTTACCTCGAGTTGAGAACTTTGCCCCAGGATGAGAACGGAAATCGTGTGCCAGTGGCAGCAAGAGGCCCCATTAGCGAAAGCACGCCTCTAGTTAAGAACAGTTTCAGGTTAAGAGCGGACCTCCGGAACGAATTAAGTTCGTAACTAGATGTACCACTGTACTGGCTTTCACTGGTGCCCCACAATCTGAGCTTTCATTTATTTACAGAAGTCAGTCTCTAGCCCTCCTAGAAAGGAAGTTGGGGAACAAAATGTGCAGGTACCTTCTCGGAGATTTCTGTGAAATGAGAGTGTTGTGACCACCTTGTATATTTTTCCTGGTACGGAGGAATGCTCCCTGATGCTATGAGACAGCAACAGTACATGTGTGTGGTTGGAAGTGTAAAATCAATATTTAGTGATTTCCACAGCTTAGGACTGTGGTAAGACATAGCTTACTTCCCACAGCATGCACAAGGTTGTTGAGGGTGGCTGTCTCTGATTTTGTGTTATGTCACACCCATACCCCATAGCACCTATTTTGTGACTTGTACCCTCACAGTCTCTCAAAATTCAAAACGGGTCCCCTGGTCCGAAAAGGTTGGCAACCTCCTGTCCTGAAGAAATTGTAGAAATCTGAGTCTTCCACTAACAAGGCACTGAATCCTGCCCACTGTACTTCTTGCTCCTGTGAGCAGCCTGGCTTCTGCATTCTGCACTAGCTGCAGCTTCTAGACCCGATACAAGGGCAGCTCCACATGAAGCACATTACAGTGATCAAGCCTTGAGGCTAGCAATACACATAGCACTGTGCTCAGGCTTTTGTGCTTCAGGAATGGCCACAGCTGGAATATCAGCCCAAGTTACAGAGATTAGAGATACAGCTACTTTAGCTTGTTAAATTACTTGTGTTGTTTACATCTTCCTTTATGTGAGCTTGTAGACTTGGGGTTTTTAACAGCTTTTTAATGGGGGCTTCAAGAACTCTTACAGGGAATTTCCTAAATGTGTTATTGAAAGCAGAAACTGCAGTTTGGCAAATGGTGCAAGTCTGTGAGTTCCAAAATACACCATTTATCCTCGTTTATTGCAGTTTCACTTAAATATCCTAAGAAAGCGCTTTCTAGAGTCTTTCCTGCCATATGATCATTGATCTTCAATGTCACCTTTCTTAGCCTTTGGACAAGGCCAGTGAACTTAAATAAAATCTGCCTTTGAACCATTGATCTTCGGCAGTAAAACCAGTATTAACCTAAAATATATTATTAAGATGCTGCTGTAACGTCTTGTTGCTGAAGTATCTTGTGCTGAGATGCTGTAAGGCTGTAAATGTTCATTTTTGTGTGATGAGAGAGTCATGCCCGAGATCACTAAATGAAACTTGGTGAGATGACTACATCTGATTTGATATTATGGCTTTCGCATTCTACAGTGCCTGGAAAATGAACTCATAGCAGTAAAGTGTGGGTTGTGATGCAGCGGAAAACTCCCTTCCTGCCATCTGGCCAGGAACTCTGCCTTGCTGTTTTGTGTATGTGTGTGTTTAACAGATCATTCGCCTGTATCTGGGATGTGCCTAGTAGAAGCTGAAACCTAGATGGATAGACTGTATTTACTCTGGAGATGTAAGTCCTGAATGTTCATGATTCTATGTGTTGGACTAGGCCAGTGTTTCCAAAACTTGGGTCTCCAGCTGTTTTTGGACTACAACTCCCATTATCTCTAGCTAGCAGGACCAGTGTTCAGGGGTGATGGGAACTGTAGTCCAAAAACAGCTGGAGACCCAAGTTTGGGAAACACTGGGCTAGGCCTTGCGGGGGACCAGGGCTCAAACATCCACCCAGTCATGAAGCTCACTGGATGACCTTCAGCCAGTCAGCCTAACTTGCCTCACAGGGTTGTTGTGTGGGGATTAAATTAGGAGGGAGAAAACTCTGTATGCTATCTTGAGCTCCTTGGAGAAAAAGGTGGTATAGAAATGCAATACAGTGGTACCTCGGTTTAAGTACTTAATTTGTTCTGGAGGTCCGTTCTTAACCTGAAACTGTTCTTAACCTGAAGCACCACTTTAGCTAATGGGGCCTCCTGCTGCCGCCGCGCCGCTGGAGCCCGATTTCTGTTCTTATCCTGAAGCAAAGTTCTTAACCTGAAGCACTATTTCTGGCTTAGTGGTGTAACCTGAAGCGTATGTAACCTGAGGTATCACTGTAAATAAAAAATACTGGATTGTTGGCAAGATTGAGAGAATGCTGTTCAAAAGTGATATGAACAGTTTTAAAGTTCTCTATAAATGCTTACTACTGCTAACTCTCACATACAAAATGGCCCTTAGCTCTCAAAAAAAATTGAGAACTGACTCTAAGAATGAGGACCAAGAAGAGTACAGAACAGTAGCTTCCATCATCCATGAGCTCTTACTAAAAGTAATGCTTCAGGGCCTAAGCTGTGTATAGCAGCTACAGTGGTTTCTTCCATTTGGTCAAACAGCACTTTTGATGGATGCTGTCTGTGAATTCCATTGATTCTAAGGCTTGTGGCTTACACCCACTGCTTAATGACCAAAAGGCTTCTATTGGGTTCC